GGGCGGCGGACGTTTGCGTCAAAGCGTGCCACCGCTGGTTTCATTTTGAATTAAAATTGCAGGTTGTCACGCCCACCTTGATTGGAAGGGCTTGACTTTCCAAAATGTGAGTCAAGTGAAGTGGCGGAGACCATGTTTGCTCTTTTGAGCTCTGGTGCTTCCAATGTTTGGAAGACAGTGGTGCATGCCAGTGGAATCATGTGATGAAAGACCCTAATATCTGGATTCAAGGATTCGAACACTGTATTTTTTTGATGCATGAAAAATCATTGAAAATCAATTTAACGTAATTAACGTTATTTGTTTTTCAATCTGACGCTCTTTTGTACTGTTTGTCCTCATTAGGGTGGCGGATCATGGGGGCCGTCCCAAATTGACATTGGGCGAGAGGTGGGGTTTCTCCTGCTGACAACACAATTGAAGCGTGTAACTGAAACAGACTGCAAGGAAAGCCAGACGCGACAAGAATAAACTCTTAAATTATTCTACCTAACATTGTATATAGCACCATATTGAGTTAAATGTCGCTCACTCAGCATCCTTTGCAGCCTGGTCGTCCCAGAAGGGCAATTTCTCCCATCTGTGCCACCTTTTCAAGGTTTGTGTGTGTGTGTGTGTGTGTGCGTGTGTTTCTTTTTTCCTTGACCTCTTATGTGTCAAGATCAGGCAATATCACTTATGTGTCAACTTTATGCCCGTGAAGCCCTCTGAGACGTTTCTGTGATTAGAAGCTGTATAAGTAAATTTGACTTGACTTGAATACAAAGATTGACCAGTTGATATTGGGTCACAGACTTGATGTAGTTATTGAAAGTAAATTACTTACAACTACATTTTAGGTCGTAGAATTTGATATGGTGGGTCAAAAAAAAAAAACAGGTCGGTAATGGTGACCAGCCACGACCCACTTCCTTTACTACCCACCACCTGGCTACCACCTTGCCTCTTCCATCTTGCTCCCTATCTCACAGCAGGCTTAGGCTGCCGCCTCCCCCAATCAGTTCCTACTGCCTTCTTCCTCTCAATTCCTATAATTCCAACCTCCGTCAGCAACTTCCAGGCTGATTGGGCTGGGATGCCTCTGCACCCTACTTCAATTAGACCAAACAACGTTTTCCAGTCTTTATCCCTGCAGTCCTGCAGACATGGTGATCAGATTCCTCTTCACATCCCCATTCCCACACCACTATAAGCCCCACAAGGATGATCTGTTTTTTCTTTCTTTCATGAAGAACAGGACTGCTTCTAGGTGCAAGGTTGTGTGGACAACATCGGGGCATGGAGTTTTTGCTTCCTATTCAGTCTTAGATCCCACACTTTGATTAATTTAAGGAGACTCGTTCTGCTTTCATTAGCCGCCGGTTTTGCCCCCTCCCTGACAAAATCAATAGCAAGTGGCAGCTATCTCGCGAGATGATGTTTCTGTGTTTTTGCTTGCTCTAGGATGACAGCAAGCACGGCTAAAACATGTGTCTCACCATCTGTATCTGCCCGGCAACAGAGTGGTGGTGCATTCTGACAATGTATGCCATGGTCCCACTTTTCAGAACTTGAACTTTGTGTTGTCTCTCATACCCTATCTGTGAGTAGTTAGTTACTGGGGTTGGTAGATACCGAATAGCTTGAGCCACCACAGGTCTGCCCATGTTAGCTTTAGCCATGTTAGCTCCATGGGATGTCTAGTTCTGCCGAGACCGTAAACTCTTCTTTTCCTTGAATTGAGCTCTCCCCACTTAAAATAATGTATATTAAAGTCATTGCAAAACAATACAATAATTTGCTCACCTAAAAATGCAATGATTTAATAAAAATAATGTTTATAAATAAATAAAAAAATGTATATATATCTATAAATATATAAATAAAAATTTTAAATTGTATATAAAAGTGTTCCCAACCTTTAATGAGCCAAGAACACCCTTTTTACATCAGAATCAAATCTGACGGTACATCGGCAAACTAAAATGTATAAAAAGTCTGAATATTGAAATAAAATCTCATAATTTAGTCACAAATTGAAGTACTCAGTTTGAAATCTGGGGCTGTTTAGTTGAACATAAAACTGATACAATCGTAAGGAGTAATGACTTATTCTGTCATATGAATGACAACAAGTTTATTGTATACATGCTGATTTCAGGCTGAACTGTTGAATTCTCAGTCTCCCTGATCTACAGTACGGCTCTTTCTCTTCCTTCCTCTTTCCCTTTAACACTGGTTAACTCCTATTCATCTTCTTCAAACCCCATATAAAAGTACACTTATAATTACAAACGAAAACGCTACAGCCTCTCTTGTAGTAAATCGTTTTATAGAGGTCAAAATAAAACAATGTTGAAAATGGTATTAAGCTTCAAAATGCTACTGTTTTTTTGTTTTTTTTTGCTGCCATTTTTAGAAAGACAAAAGAAGGGGTAATTGTTTTTGGTTTTTGGAGGGGAGGGGGTGTTTTTTTTTTTGTTGTTTTTTTTTTTGGGGGGGGGAATCATTAATTTTTTGGATTAATTAATTTAAAATTCCCCACAGACAGTCTCCCAAATGTTCCCGGAAGAATGTATTCTGTTTGGCTGTATGTCTGTGATTATTTTTTTTAATTTTTTTAATGGACACTGATTCATCAACTGGGGTAACACGTACAACAATGTGCCTTGATCTTCACAGATGACAATTGTATCTCTCTTCCTGTGTGTTCAATATAGTCTTGTTTTCTGCAAGGCCAGGTGTTGTGTACAACTAACCTCTGTCCTCTGTCCATAAAAAGCCATGTAATGCTCATGGGACAGACGCATCTGCCATCCAGCCAGCACATTCATGCAAAACTAGGTCAAGATGTGTGTGCGTGTGTGTGCATGCATGCATGTGTGTGTGTGTGTGTGTTTGTGTGTGTGTGTGTGTGTGTGTGTGTGCGCACATACGTGTATGCATGAAGGTTAAAGGTTATGTGGTCTTTGATTTTGTGACAGTACATACCTGCACATGATGGAGAAAATAGAAAATAAGTAATGTCCTGCATGTTTTTCACGTGACTTTTTTTTTTTTTTTATGTCTTCAGGCATTGTGTTGCATTTTTAGGTTGTACTGCACGGCACATCTGGATTGTGTCTCGAACAAACATGCAAACATGACCTTATCTCCCTCAACACTCAGACTCTGTATCTTCAACCTGAGGCATTATGTTATATGTTGGGTCCAAAAGGGGATTTGACAGGCGGCGTACATGAACGCGCGTGTGTGTGTGTGTGTGTGTGTGTGGGCATTTACTTTGATACGTATGTAGTCATTTCCTGTGTGCACAAAAAAATATGTGCACTCGTCGAAGCGTGTTAATGCATGTGCTAAAACTGGCAGAGTGAAAGGTGCAATGTAGCTGCTGAAGTGAGGACATGTCATGAGAGAGAAAATAGACTGTTCAAGCTGTGTATGCCTCCTGAGGACTCAGGTGTTTTCTCAGTGGATGATGGAGGAAGAGATGCAGGGAGTTGTGTGTTTTGTTTGAGTGTGTGTGTGTGAGAGAGAGAGAGAGAGAGAGAGAGAGAGAGAGAGAGAGAGAGAGAGAGAGAGAGAGAGAGAGAGAGAGAGAGCTGAAAGTGTCAGGCTGAGGCAAGTGATCAGAGGGCAGAATAATGCCAGCCTCATCCTTATAGGGAGAGGTGTTTGCCTCAGTCTCTGCCACACTTTGTAGTTTTTATTATATTTCGTATGACTGTTGAACACCCACAGTGTTGCCTACTGTAATGCATTCCTACTGTCATGCATATTTTTAATCTGACTTTTATGTACAGTTCAGGAAAAAAAATATATTCACATATGCAGAACAGTCAAAATCATATTGGTTGGACATAAGTGATATAAATAGTCTACACACCCCTGGTGAAATGACAGGTGTTTGTAATGTTAAAAAAAAAAAAAAAACAGCAAAACCAAGAGAAATCTTTTTTTTTTTCCGAGCATAAGTATGATCTAGATTAGAACGTATACAATTCTATTGAAAATAAAAAGGAAATCTTTTCAAGAGGAAGTAAAAATGAACACCTGAGATCATCTGGTTGCACAAATGTGCACACAAGTGGTGTCACATTGCGAGGTGGTGGTGGACCCCAAAAAGCAGTCAAGAGGGAGGAGCAGGGTGTACTTCACAAATTGTATTAAAACAAAAAGAAAACTAAATTCAAAACAAAAATAATCCAAAGTAGCAAACAAAACCATGACTGAAGCAAAAACTAACCATGATCGACATGAGAACAAACACACAAACAGCAACAAAGAAACAAACAAGCAACAATGACCCTACACTGAGTGGTCGTGCAGGGAGTCCTTTTAAAGCACTAATTAGATAACGACCAACAGGTGTGCAGCTGCAGGGGGGAGCCCTACAGTGCCACCTGTTGGTCACAAACAGAATCATGACAAGTGGCAATGTAGGAGTGTTCAGAATTAAAGGGGAAGTCAAGTGTTTGACAATATGTGGCGGCCATTTTGCCACTTGCTGTCGCCTGAAAATGAGATCACAGTTCCTCAGGACTCAGGTAGCGACCATTCAACTGTTTTCTGAAGCTGAGCCATGATTGATTGTTATCATGAGACAGACAAAAACAGATGGCTTGTTATGAGTTATGTTTTTGTTTGGATTACACTTGGTTTTGTTCCCTCATGCCTATTTTGTCTCCACCTGTTCTTGTCATCCGGGTCCCTTGGACCAACCAATCAGCTCCTTCAACCCTTTGTGTCTTGTCCAGGTGTTTCTCGTTGTCTCGTCACTTTGCTTGTATTTTGTTCACTGGGTTCGGTCAGTGTTTGTTGGCTCATTGTGTGTGCCTGTCGTAAGTCATTGGGCTGTTTGTTACTTCGGTTTCATGTGGTTTTCAGAAGTTTGTGTATTTGAGTTCGTTTTTCCTCAGTGTACTCCTGCATGTATTTTTTTGTTAATGTATTTTGTTCAGTCCACCCTGGCTGCTCCTCTTGCCTCCCTGCTTTTTGGGTCCTCTACTACCGCGCTAAACCTGACAAAATGCTTAAATCCATATTCCACAGACGCAATGTCAGAATGCTGTGTTTAGACAAGTGGGGCTGCATAGAAGATATTCTTGTAAAGACAATTTTCGGGTTGACTTCCCTTTTAAGAAGAAGCCTGAAGGTTTTGTACTAACACTGACTGCTGCTGCTATTTGAAACTGTAGTTCAAAGTGTTTTGTTTTGGGGGTATTTGGGGGTAAGATAAGACTTCCATCTTGACACCCTACCCTGTAGCCCCAGCTATAGATGATGACAAATTGTCACATGAAAATAAACAGCCAGTACGTGCCAGCAATTCCTGCAACTCCGTCAATGTTGCTGTAGACCTTTTGATAGGCCTTTGTGACCACTTCTTACCTTCCCATCTATTTTGGAGAGACATAAAACTCTTGGTAATATCGGTGTTGTTCCTTTGCAAATTGAATGCCTTCGAAATTCTTTGGCCCACTTCTACTCCTGATACCTTTGAATAAGGGGCGCTCTCTGTTACATTGGAATCTCTCTGTAAACCACGGCCTGTGCAATAAAATGTGACTAGAAAATTGTCACTAATAGATTACTGGAACGCAGTTGAGCTTCATCTGGTTTTAATCAGAGGCACTTTAAATGGTGGAAGTTCTGTGCTCTCTTCTATTAATAAGATTCGATGGGTTAAATCCGAGCACAGCCACAATCCCAGGTTCCCACAGGGTGTGCACGTACATCGATTATTTTTACTGAACAACAACAATAATGAAAATGTTGTTGTACATGTTGTAGGTCACATTAAGGTTGGATTATCTTTTGAAATGATTTATGGTGGTCTCATTTGTTCAAATCGCATACACTTGTCATTTGAACAGGGGTGTGTAGACTTTTAATATCCTCCGTTCTACAAAGTCATAGTAGTAGTCCATGGACATCTTGCAGATGAACACTGTTATAGCTTTCCTGCAGATGGCAGTAATGTCACAATGATGAATGGTAGAGTTTAAAAAAAAAAAATGCATCTGCTATCGGTGAGTGTTTTTATACCTTGATTCATTTCACACTTGGATTCCCTCCACGCCCCTCCACAATGTCTTCTGGAAATCGTCGGAGTCGTTTTGGAGTGAACATGCAAGTGAGGGTACCATGAAGTACAAATAAAAAGATAATTTAAGAGGGTGTGACAAAATCTTTGACCGTTAGTGTACAGCAACAAAAACAATGACAGCGACATCAGTTTGGAGGAATCATTTGGCAGTTCCAGAATAGCACGCACTGGATGAATACAAGAACACCTACCGACGGACTACATAGTTCTGTGTGTGTGTGTGTGTGTGTGTGTGTGTGTGTGTGTGTGTGTGTGTTTATTACGATGGCAGGTGAGTTGGAGATACAATTCACACACACCTCTACATCTATGGCTATTTTAATTTAATGGGATTAACATGCTAAACACTTCTCACCGTGTCATCCCAGTCAAGATGGAATAGTGGCAATTTAAATCAAGACTTGTATACCTTAAATGCCCCAGCATGCAACGTTATGTAAAATACCATGCCGTTTCTCATGACTAACTGATATACTGCAGCAATTAAAATATTGCCTTTTTCTGTGTGTGTTTCTGACACGGGAGAAACGAGGAATGGGCCGAATCCTCGTGCAACTCCATATTGTCGCCACTAGAGTGCAGCATTTAATTAAAACTGGCTATAGGATGCTAAAAGGATGAATCTTGTAAATTTCATTTTCATGGCGCATCCATTCTGCTCATACCACTTGAATAAATTATTTTCACTCATTATAAGGAAGGTGACATTCAAATAGCAGGGGCTGATAAGTTTTGATTGAATGGGATGCCTCAGTGACCTGCAATGAAAGAATTCGGTGATAATTTGCAAAATTAATGTGATTGAGCAAACCGTGCAATCGCAACTATGTTTTCAAATTATGGAAGGTTTTTATGAGCAGTTTAGCCATACTGTATGTCAATTTTTTTTTTGACACAACCGTTATTTTAAATCAAGCAGAAAAGTGGATGATCTCACAGAGGATTGAGGGTGTTCTCTTTCATGGAAATGAGACCACGGTCACTCCACTGCCTTGTACTCTGGGGCCACTGCAAATATGCCTGTCATTTCCATGACAACCAGGGGCAGGACAAGGGGTTGTGATGAGGTGAGGGCTAATATGTCACAGCATGAAGAAAAAAGCCAGCACCCACTCGAAAATTGTTTTTACTTATTTCACTCAATTGAGGCAGCAATTCAACACCAAGTGGTCAAAATGACACCCTAAGAGTATCCTTTACCATCGAATAAACGCTTGAATATTGACACCGATCTGTGCATGTGCTGCATGCAGCTTACAGCAGCAAACTCAGATACATACCTTCTGTACCCTCAATGACAACATGATAAGAAGCTAATGCTGATAACGCTGATATCTAAGGCTTATTTCTGTTTACAATGAGACTCTGCTTACCCTTTAACTTTGACACGATAATGCTTCTGCGGAGTCTGGCGGGCGGCTCTTCACTCAACCGAGCTGACAAGTCACAGACAGAAACTTTTTATATGGGGGCGATGGATTTCAAATTAGCTGCACAGCTACATCACACTACCACAATATTCAGAAAGGCTCTAGAACAAACATATTTTCATTAATAGGCAGCTAGCAGCTCATTTGCTTGGTTGTGTAATGATATGTTTGATGTGTGATCTGGGACTCCATTACACTGTACATGGAAGTGTATTATTTACCTACAATACTAATCCTGTACAGTATATTCATCATTCTATGAATTGCATTCATTAGTAATTTCATAATGTTTTCATATTAGACATTTTTCCAGCCTCAAGGTTGACAATTTATACAGACAAGTAACAGTCCTGTCTTCCAGCCTCAAACCGTCAAGGCCACATGGTTCTAAGAAGGACTGTTTCGTCCCACATAAACGTCAACACAATTCGTTGAAAAGTCAATGTTCCATCTGTCCCTTTTAACTTAAGTGACAAGAGTGTGATGAAAACTGTATCCGCTAAGTGTTAAAGTTGGTCTTCACTCCTTTGAGTGCACTGTAAAAAAATAAAGGCAATCAAACAGTTTGCTAAAAAACATAACAAGGAGAAAGCAAGCTGGTGATTGACTAGCAAGCTGACATTGCTTCGGGCTAACATTAGCGATTCACCACACTCTCTGGACAATGTCTTTATGTTGCGTTCTTACTTAAAGGAAGGATTCTTGAATTTTACATGAGACTTGGTGGGTGGTAATTAATTCCTTTAGCTTGGAAACATGCATAAGAGTTGAAAAATACACCTTGATATTGATCTAATTCACTTTTATGGCAACATGCGTCCAACAAGACGCAATTTATGTAATTTCCTGCTGGACTGTAGGCACACATTGGACAATGAGGAGGACACAAAGAAAAACAATGGCGTAACGCGTGGCAAAAATTTGCAAGGGGTGCGGCAGGAAATGGTAAACATGGTGCACAATGGCATGATATTTCACAATTTTTACAAAAACTATTTTTACGTAAATTGTGTCGTCTCTCCATGTGCACAACTGCACATGAACAGGCAGGCATGCAAACTTGTGTAGTGAACATACACGGGACAAGGAATGATTTACATTTGGAGAGGAGACATGCCATGCAAGTAACATTAAAAACAAATGCTGTGCCGGGGGAATTTTAACGGGAAAGAAATGGCAAATAAGTTTAACTGCCCGAGGGAGGATCTGCTTTCTTTCAACTCTTTGAATTTCCTGAAGGGTGCAAGCGCCATTGTGGGCGTTATGTCCACAATGCAAGCGTAGTCTGCACTCGATAATTAAGCCGCTGAGACACCGGACCAGAACAGCACTCTGACCTTCATGCGTATAACGTCGGAGGGCATATTAATTACAGTGTAAGAAAAACCCAAAACATGTATGATACCAAAACTGTGACTCCGCTAAATGACAAAAGACGACTTACAAAGAGAATACAAAAATGTGGCGAGAGTAGTATGTGGCGTGAATAAGAGAACCTTTAGAAAATTCAACACTTGGTGACAGAGTCGTGAGGAATAATCTGACAACCGGTTGTCAGCATGGCAGTTCTTTTCTCCCTGGTTGATTAGGATGTGTAACAGGTGCGCCGCTCGAGGGAACCGTCCATCACCCCGGCTGGAGACGGAAACAAAACAGAACAGAGTCATGACAAGCGGTATCCCTTGAAATTCTCTGTAATGCTGTACACTTGTCATCTGTTTGTGGCTGACAAGCAACTTTTGGCATGCATCAATGCCACACCACCCCAACCTCTTTGAATTAATCTTTAACGTTGGATGTGCAACGCTATAGTGAAGTGAGAACGTCACAGTTCGAACATCATCGGTTCGACCTCCAAATTATTGTTGGACTTTTATTTTCCCCTGAAAAGTTTAATCCAAGGTTTGGGGCCTTCATCTGTCAAGATTCGATTGCATTTCAGTCTCTATGAATCAAATGGGATCATGATTTCAAAGGCTGCAGGCAGCTCTTCGTGGGATCAAACTGTGTTCAATGTATAATAGGAGGGAGAAGCTTAAACACCCACCTGGCTTTAGTATCTGGTGTCTTCCCTGCACAGTTGAATGGAAATCAAACAGGATTTCTACTCCTTGGATAACTATCTGTCAGTCCACAAGCACACTCTGCACACGGAGCTTTGCTGTCCACTTCATCATCCGATTTCATAGATAACCATAAATTTAGAGGGTAAAACTACTAGAGTTGTATCATTTCCTCAGATACATATGACCTTGGTCTGTCATTCTGTATTTTTTCTTTCCTCAATTTCGGCACAACAGCTTGAAAAAAAGGCTGAAGAAATATCCTCTATTAGTCACTAGGACGGCCTATACGCAGTGCACCCAAATCACAGCGATGTCTATTCACACTCATAATGATTCAGAAATGTGCACACTCCATCAGCCTGAGTATTCATGAATTTAGGGCCTATTGTTATTTTTGCTTCAATGCTTAAAATTTAAAAGACGACTCACACATGAGGTGACTAATAAGACAAGTTGTCATTTCTGTCATGAGCTAAATGATCACACTTGCATGAGCAGTTTGATTAAGTGCTCCACTGAAAAGACGGTTCACTCAGTGATGCAATCACTCCCGAATAAGTGAATCAAATATTCAAGTAAAAGTTTTGGACGTGTTCAAAAAAGAGCAGGCAATCATTTTGATGTGATTCCTGCTTCTTGCCACATTAAACTTTTGGGGGTTCCTCAGGGAATACTTGCTCTTGCTCCCCATAGACTCCTGCTATGTGTGCCATATACAATTCTAGTATGCACATGACATTATAGGCATAACTGCACATCCATACAACAGATTGTAGTTTTTTTTCTTTAAAAAAACAACAACAGAACATATCATTTATATATGAATGATGCATTGGATTGGATGCTGTGCAATGCTTGTACAACCACTTTAAGGATTCACAGGGTATTTCATGATATGGTGTTTTCAATGTGAGGAGTCATTTGTTTTTGGATATTCCTTTCATTTTTCATTCACTCTGTAAGAAGTGTTTTGTAAGGAATTGGCTCTCTTGTGTGGAGCTGATGATGATTATTGTTCACTGTGTCTTAGTGTAATTGAGCCTAAACAGTGTACTACTTGGCCACAACCAGCAGAGGCGGTGTTGATTCAATGTCAATTACTAAATACTGAAGTACAAACCGGCATGGGCTGTGGGAAGTTGACCCATGCAGTGCTCCTATATCACACGACTCTTCTGGGCAGTGTTATTCCACAAAAGAATTGAAATGGGACTTCCGAACATCCGCCATAAAGATATTATCTCTCTCCTGTGGTTGAGAGGAAAGAAATTTCATCTGTGCGGTATGTTGCGCATAGAGCACATTTGACAATAAAGTTGACTTGAACTTGAACTTGACAAAAGAAATTCCTCGAGTAGATACTTTTCACTGTACAATACTCAGTCTCAACTCAACTGTATTTATAAAGCACTTTAAAATAACCATTGCTGTAAACAAAGTGCTGAACATGGCGCAAAATTAAATCACACAGCAACAAACGATAAAACAATTAGAGGCACCAAAACAGTGACTCATGTTGAGTCAAAAGCCAAAGAATAAAAATGAATTTTAAGATGAGTTTTAAAGATGGTCAGTGAGGGGGCTTGCCGAATGATCAGAGGAAGGTCATTCCAAACAGAAGGACTGGCATTGGAAAAGGTTTGATCCTATCTGAGCCTTAGGTTAGTCCTGAATACCACTAATAGCGTCTGGTCCGTAGACCGGGCAGGTGCATGGGGTGAGTCCATTTAAAGATTTGAAAAAAAATAATTGAATCTTTAAAAGAACTCTAAAATCTACACAGGGAGCCAGAGTAGGATGTGCTCCCTGTTATGAGTACTGCTTAAGACGCGAGCAGCAGCATTTTGGACCAACTGGAGGCGCTTGATGGAGGATTGGCTGTCTCCAAAATAAAGTTCCTTACAGTCATCCAAATGAGATGTGACAAAGGAATGAATTACTATTCGGAAAGGAGAGGCTTTACTTTGGCCAGCTGCCAAAGATGAAAGAAGCTGGATTTAACAACAGCAGCAATGTAATATCATTGTCCAGTTCAACAATAACATTTTTTTGAAATCCTGCCATCTATTTATGATTTATTACTGTGACTGAAATCGCAGGGGAAGCATTGGAGCATTCCTTATTGCTAAACTGTTCAGTTTCTACTAAAATTAAATCGTCTTATTATTCTATTAGAGTCTGTTTACGGGGATATTCTGTTATTTAAGTGATTTTTGGGGACCTATTTGTCTGATTATAAAAAGAAAATATTCCATTTTTAATGCTCATAAGGAATTACAGAACATCATGTAGCAGTTAACTGTATATGGTACAGTATATTGAAATTCACTTGAGAGGCTCCAACAATTAAACAAAAAGCAAAAAGACTCTTCTTTTCTATGCTGACAGAGATGAACCCATGTGATTCTGGGCATATTAAACATTTATTTGTCCTAATGCTGAGTTTGTTTGAGGTACGGTGTATGCTTCCAAAGTGCACCTCTTTCAGGGTGATTACACAAAAGCTGCAAGCTAGAGTGGTGAAACACAGGCCATGGAAGAAGAGCTCATTAAATTTGGAAGCAGAAATGTTTAACATTTTAAAATATCACAGTAATGCAGTTGGAGCGCCTTCTCTCTGTAGACTGTACTTCATCTTCTTTAATAAAAAGGTAGTACTTCTATTTTTCAATACCTAAAGACCATATATGTTTGCATATTGGATAAAAAAAAACATTGTATTCCTCGTTGATTGTTATCTTTAATTTCTCATTTGGCAAAATGGGTTGTCACTTGTATAGCACTTTTCTACCTCAGTTACTCAAAGCGCTTCACATTGTCACCTTGTTAACCGACTGATGATACATGTAGCATCAGGAGCAATTGGAGGTTCCGTATCCTGCTCAAGAACACTACAATGTAGTTGCTATGACGAGGGACTGAACCACCAACATCTGGGTTTAGGAAACGACCTGGCTACCCCAACATGTTGCCCCCAACAGTGGTGAAATTATCGGAGAGGAACATAATTTTTATTACACAAGACAAGGACAATGTGTGGCTCTTTATTACAACAAGAAAGATTTCCTTTGAGGAAAAACACTTTGTGTATTTTTCAGGTTCAACATAAATGGTGCAAAATGATTTGCTCCAGGTTTTATTTATCGTACCATTGAAGTTGTTCCTCAATGAGAGGTTGACACAATATCATTCGTTACAAATGTTGATACCCTTTTTGGATCACCCAAAATGACTGAATTTAACTGCTTGGTAGAAATGGGGACCGGGGTTGCGGAGGTCTGACAAGCGAGATGAATCATCACAGATCCGTTATTTTGGAAAATTATGCTAATAGGTGACAAAAAATGGCACAGAACTCTTCACTTATTTCGGTACACAATTGACTTTGTGGAAATTTTATGGGATGCCCCAAAAAATAGTTTTGGAACCATAATATTATCTAAAGTTTGTGCAAATGTATTTCTTGACAACATTAAAAAAACATAGAAAATAATGTCACTCTAGTATAATATTTATAGAATATATAGTCAAATTCAAGTTGACGATTCTCATTTATATACAGCAGGGGCCAGATCTGGGCCGCCACATCATTTTATGTGGCCGGCGAAAGCAATTCAAATATGGCAACTTCCATGATGCTTGCTAAAATATGGACCAAAATGTCAAATTCTCACATGTAATAAATAAGAGAGACATTGTAAGCATTTTCTTGTTACCAAACACCTCATTACAGTAACTTAATGGATGGATGGCTTGAGGAGCCGACGATGAAAAAGAAAGGAGTGTCAGCGCAGAGCGCCGATGCGTATGTGGAACTGGGAGTCATGGCTTGGAATTGAAGCGGATTTACATGGGACAGGAGAGGAGAGCCAATCTCTCTTTTTCGTTAATGGATGCTACAGCTTCTTGTTGCTTTCAAGCTTAGCTTGTAGCAGACGTGTGCACTTTTCAGCATGACGGCTTTGATCCACTGGTGAAAAGCACAATTTGATTCGCTCCTCTTTCATCTGTTAACTGCTTCAGACAACAAAGTGGTTAAGATTGCACTATTGTCTGTGTCTAATGTGTTGTCTTGTATTATTTTGTCATTTTATGATAACTTTTCTTTTGATGGCGGCGCGGGCACCCGCAGCGGCTCCTCTTGTTGTATGTTGTCTTGAGAAGGAAGAAATTTCATCTGTGCTGTATGTTGCACATACAGCACATTTGATAATAAAGTTGGACTTGACTTAACTTCAACAATAGTTATATAAACCGTTATTCTTGACTTCTTTATATGATTTCAGTCATAATGGCCCTCCAAGGGAAATGGTGACTAAAATGTGGCCCGAAAAAATGGGTTTGACACCCCCAAGAGACACAAAAGGGGTCACTGCGAATAAATAAACTTGTACTGTAAACTTTAAATCGGCCACCCCCACCCCCTTATCTCTCTCTCTCTCTCTCTCTCTCTCTCTCTCTCTCTCTCTCTCTCTCTCTCTCTCTCTCGCTCTCTCTCTCTTTCGCTCGCTCTCTCCCTCGCAGCCACCCTCGCACACCTTTCTTTCTCGGTTCCTCCACTCGCTCTCCGAAGAAGACGAAGAATGCTCTTCACAATGGACTTACGGCCGAGTTGAGATGGTCCCATTTATGTCTTTCTACTCGGATGCTGTTTAGCGTCGCGTCTCCTCCGGTGTTCGCATCATGGCAACCATCGGGGAATTCGACCCACTCCACACGAGAGTCCCCGCAACTAAAATAGAAGTTACCGTCTCGTGCCGGTAAGGTCAAACTCGTTCGCATCCACGAGCCCATGTTGTTAGCCTTAAAACTCGGTCTGTAACAGTAAGATTTTTCACTAACTACTAAAGTTTACACTTTGCTGTCTATCTATCTATCTATCTATCTATCTATCTATCTATCTATCTATCTATCTATCTATCTATCTATCGTTAATTGCTTTCAATATTATCAGTCTCCTATGGCGCTCATTGAAATTTAGTGTTGCGATAACAACACTAGGACTGACAAGCCTCTAGCAGACCCCTGAGTGTGTATAATTATATTTATTCCCCCACACCTCCCAAATCAGTGACCTTTTGATTTCCCTGCTCTCAGGGAAATGGTTGATCTGAGCAGCAGGTGCCTGCATAGGCGCTATTAAAGACATTTTATAGCTAACGTCTATATTGCTCCTGTATGTAAGTGCAGCCATGTCTCTGAAGATGAACATTGATATTCACAGTCATTCCTGATGCACTGACAGATTCTTTCCACACTTTTGTGGATGTTAAGATGCATTTTGGCACCAAAAGGAGGCACATTGCCAGAAAACATCTTATCATGGGTACATAATTCTCAGAAAAAAAAAAAAAAACAACCATAACATCATAATTCTATGAAGCTCTTGTTTGGTGTCATCGTGGCTCATCTGATTTACTGGCGGGTCACCTTATTGACCGACTAAATTGAGCTGTAAAACCCAGCCTTGTTGTGTCCGTCAGTCAAGCCGTGTACTAAATGTCTCTTCCGTCCACTCCTGAATAATCAATAATGAATGGCTGGTTCTCCTGTGTAGTCCCTCCTCTGATCAACCCTGCATGAGATAGTGACACATCTCAGTGGATGCAGTCTTTGAATTTTGGTTCAGTCCCCGAAAAAAAACACAAACATTTGCCACAGTCAAATTACATATAGCTTCAAATATGTCTTAAATATAGCCTCGAAGTGAACAGAATTTCGATGTGCGGTGTAACATGTAAGGATAAGCAAAATCCATTCCGGTAAATTAACTGACCTCCGATTTCACAAATATTTCAAAAAAATAAAATTCTCAAAGGAAATAGTTAAAAGAGAAATTATTTGCTCCAGGGTAAAACTTGCCCAGCCATCAATTTTGTTTACAGTGCTTGTCCTCATTCGGGTCACCGGTGAGCTGGTGGACATAGACCTCGGACTGGTTGCCAGCCAAATTCTGTAATGTTGTTTTTCCTACATATTATATAACAGTAACTTAAATCACTCTGACATGAACAAAAAAGTGCTCGGGCGTAAAATCTTGCACATCCTGATTTTCGTGCTGATGTAAGCCTCCTTTTGCCAGAATTTGGCGGATCACTCTTTGCCATGGGGTGTGTTGTTCTGTATTGGGGCCGTTTCCTTTGACATGAACCCAGAACACCGGACAATTTGGTAGCTAAAAGTAATCTAAACTTTACTCCTGCCTGAACCACATGTCACTATTGGCGCATATAGTCTAATGCAATTTTGGTGAATTTGATTGTGGCGCAGGCAAGCAGGTTGTGCACTTCTATTTCATTCATAACTAGGACAATAGCAGGCATCAACTTCCTACTCCCCAGCCACTTCATACAGCTCTACTGGATGGATACCAACGTTTTTCGAGGTCACCCGGAAGAAATAGTCTCTCCTGCATGTCCTGAGTCATGCTCCCCCCGGTGGAATGTGCCCGGGAACATTTCACTACGGAGGCGTCCAGGAGGCATCTTGATCAGATATCCCGAGCCACCTTATCTGGATCCTCTCAATGTGGAGGAGCAGAGGCTCTACTCTAAGCCCTTCCTGAATGACCGAGCTTCTCACTTTATCTCTAAAGGAGAGCCCGGAAACGATGTGGAGGAAACACATCTTGGCCGCTTTTATCTGGGATATTGTTCTTTCAAACACGACCCGCATTTCGTGTCCTATAGGTGAGGGTAGGAATGTAGCTTGCCCGCTGATGGTTTATTTTTCCAATAGTCCATCAATGAGACTTTGTCAAATGGCAATTTCTGAGTCCCAAAAAGTTGAGCCTGCTGACAGTGTGCCGTTCTGATGACATTGTAGCATGTAGCCAACTTTGATCGGACTTCCTACAAAATAAGTTGGGTTCTCGCTTTGAAAAAAATGAAACTTGTCTGACATCTAGATGTAAGATGAGGTCTAATTTATTTCATACAGATTATAGATTTCGAGCAATTGTCAGGCATGAAAAAGAATCTAATCATGGAAGAGATTGATTTTCACCACATTTTTTTTTCCCACAGGAGTCTTCTGGATGTGGACACATTCTCCAAGTCTGATCCTGGTATGTATGACTTATTTCACATCTGACAAAAATAAGACAGGAACATTGCTCACATCCAAGGCAAAAACGGCAGTGAACATTCTCAAACTAGTAAAGAAGCCAAAAAGGTCAGCGCTAATGGCGGTTCACCACATTGCCAATGCAGGGGACAGCAAAATCTTACAGCAAAATTATACAGTCAGTGTTGAAGGAAGGTCAAGATAGTGGCAGCGTGGAGCCAAACGAAAGTGAAGAAAAAAGAAAAAAAAAAACACAAGGGCATATGAATGTCATTCTTGGATAATATTGCGAAGAGTAAAAAGCCAAGGTGTGAAAGTGCATGTTCCCCAGATACCCCGATCAAGAATTCTAGCCCCTCTTTCGCTAATTAAGACACAAGGGAGCATGAGAAATTTTTGGTAATTCGGCTGCAGTATGGATGTTATGCAGTAAGCCCGTCATAACGTGACAAATGTTTTAATGCACCTTTTGGGCAGTTTTATCTCAGAAATATTTACTTGTGACAGAGATATGTTGCAGAGACTGCGCTTAGCATGCAAACCGATGGCTAAATGTTCTTGTCAAAGTAAACCTGCAGCTGACACACTGTAGTACTCCGAAGGGCTCATTTGTGTGTGGATGTCTATAGTCCACACAAGAGCATCAGATGCCCAAAAATTGGAAGATACCGATAATTATTGCCTCTGCATCACTGCGACATGACTCAATCAGGCCATTCATTGTGAGAAAGTAGCACACATGAAGCCTGAAATAGAGCATTAAATATTCACAGGAAAAAAAAAAAAACTTTCAGACGAGATGTGCATAAATTCTGGATTGCAATTTCATGTCTTCTCTGAAAGCACTTTAAGATCAAGTTTACTAAATAAAACTTAGGTCGGTGTAGACATCCGCTGTGTCCACGTGTGAAAGTATAAATATTCAGTGCACCAAAGGTCATCTTGTTAAGACCTGTGGGCAATCATTCTGCCTGACCTCATTAGCCCAGGATACAATTTGCAAGAGGAAAAAAAGCAATGGCGAGCGGATAGATATGTTTAAAACATGGTTCCGTCATTCTTAAGGCATGATGTTTAGCAAAGTTGGTCCAAGTAAAGCGTACAACAGAGCACGTGAGCGCTGACGGTAAAGCACTAAAAGCCATGTCAGAGGGTGTCTGATGGCCCACCGGTATTGAAGTTGACGAAAGTGGGTTATCTGTGGTTGCCATGGCAACGATGCAATTTACTGTTCTCCATACAACAAGAAGAGGTGGCATCCAAGGTTACATAATTCAAAGTTTGTACAGTGGGACATATTTTTGCACAATTGTCTTCATCAAAGGATTCCACCATTCATTGTAGCCCAGTGGAGTATTTTAATTTTGTACAGTCACGTTGGGGAAAAAAAAAAAGAGTTTGGGCCAGCGTATTATAGGTTCGAATGGAAACATCTTTCTCGCAGTTTCTGGGTGCGATGCTCAGGAAACTCCACACAAGAGGGCGAGCTCCACGAGTGTGAGTGTAGATTTTCTCGCGGTTCTCTCTAGTAGGGGAATTGAAAACTCTAAATTGTCTTTCGGTGAGAATGTGACTGAATTCTTATGATGTGCCCGGTGATTGACAGGCGATCGGTTCAGGGTGTCTCGCCCAAAGTAAGCCAGTTGGGGTTGGCTCCAGCTCATCTGTTACCGTCATGACGACAGACTGTTCAGAAAATGCATGGATGGATTTGTAAGGGGGAAAATATATTTTTTAAAAAGTAATAATTACATCCAAGAGTTACTTACAGTACCTCGGTGAAGTACCTTTTGCTACAATGACTGCATTCAGTCTTTTTGGGTGAATTGATCAGTGTGATCTTCTTGATCTTCTTGCTAACTTGATTATTTGCCAACACTTTCTTGTAAACGTGCTCCATGTGTCAGATTTCAAGGGCATTCACCGTGCGCAGCCGTCTTCGGGTCACGGGGCTCTGGCTCGCTCACCTCATCCAGTCTTTTTCTGGTGAAGCCATTCTTTTGTTTATTTTGATGTCGTCTGCACTCACTCTCACGCTAAAAGGTGAAACTCGTCCTCATCTTTTTTTGAAGTGAAGGTTTTGGGCCAAAGCTGCCTTTGCTGTAGCCACTGTACATCTGTTTTCTCATAGTTTACTGGTTTTCCCTTTTTGTTGCTAGGATATCATTATTTGGAAGGTTTGGGGGTTATGATAAAGGATTAGGGGGAAGAAATGTACTGTACTGAGAATGACACCGACTGATGTCGCGCATGCTCTCTGGTTTGTTTATCTTTTACCCAGACGCCGCAAATATTTTAGGAGTGCCAGGGGAATTGTAATTTTGAAAGTGCAGCAGAGTGTCCACACTCACCAAAACATGAGATATTTCTCAGGGTCAGCAATCTAGCCTTGAAGTCATTGTGAAAGTCCCGAAGCCATTGTTGTGTTCATGCTTCGATTTTACAATTTTACCCGCACCCATTTTGTGTTTGCCTGGTTTATTCCGACAGTTAAATAATGAGAAGACCAGCCTTTAGAAGACATACATGTTTGTTTTAGTTCACATCGTAGGATCGCAGATGTCAAGCTATTCTAAAAAGCAAATTCTAAAATCAAAATAAGCCCAGCATTGTGTTATTTTAAATATGATTAAATAAATAAAAAAATATGATGAGAGACAATATGAAGGATCAGAGTGATTTCTAAAGCACAGTTTTGTTTCATCGACGTATCCAATATAAGTCAATAAAAATGGTCTCTGAACATAATCAAAGCGACAAGGCCATTGAGGGAGCCCAGAATAGTATTTTAGTCGGAAAACAAAGTGGGTGAATTTGTTCTCTCTAAAAAAGTACAAAAGAGCCTTTCTAAGAAAATAAAATGGGAGTGCTGAATCTGGTTGTTTTAACTGCAACATTACCAGATTTGGATGATAACACATGAAAGCTTTGGCTCTGTGGCTAAAATACAGGTAGAACTATGTTCAACCGCAATGTTATATTCCCTGTCAGGACAGACCATTTCTGAAGGTAATTCGACGGGCTATGAGATCAAATCTGGCCGGTTATCCGTGCTTGGGAGAATGTTGAAGATTTGATTTTCATTCATGAATGACTCAATGCCTGCATCCCCTGGAAGATAGATCGTAAGTAAGAAAGAACAGCCAGGAGTCCTGACTTCACTTGACCTTTTTGGGTGAAGGATGGTGGAGGTGTCGGGTGGGGTTGCTTAACCCTTTTGGGGACAGCGGTGACTACAGTGGACAGTTTATCATGTTATCAGGTTACAGGGTGCATGAAAGGGAGCAAGTCTACCGAACCAAAAAAAAGAAAAAAGCACTCTGGAATATACGAGACGTTATGTCTTCAATCCCACAAGTGATCCTGTTGACGAGATAACTGGGAAGCTCAAGACGTTGGGAGTGAATTCTGGTGCCCCATACTGAACTTATCTTAATGCTAAAAGCTTTCCAGTCATTCCCTTTTCTTGTAGAAAATCACACATGACATACCCAACAAGAAACATTCGAGGAAAAAATATGTGAGCATTGTTGGGGGAGAGAGAGATGGCCTTTCTCTTCCTCCACCTGTTCGTTAATTTCGGATGGTGAGGATGTTGGCTATACAAATACAGGCTCAATGGTTTCTTCGAAGGTTTTATTTGCAGAATATTTCGGGCACCCGTGGTTTACAGACAATGGCTGCGGTGGTCACAAGTGCGAAGGTACAAGGGAGTCACAACATATTTATATCATCAGAAGGGCGGGACCGAAAGTTATGGTGTGGCATCGGAACTTTCGTTGCTTCTGAACCGATTCTTAGCTTTCATCAACTGGCACATCCCGGTGCTCTGTGCGTCTCCACAAGGTCTCCAGTAAGGAGTGTACCAATATTAACTGATGATTGCTTCAAGGACGCGAAGTTTTGCTGCGGGCATGGGAAAGTTATACAGCATGACTAAATATGGGCAGAAGACACAGTTCAGTATGAACCCTATTCCATTTTTAACCCGTTCATGCACCAATAATGATAAGCAATAACCTGATAACATGATAAGCTGTCCAGTGGAGTGACCTCTGTCCCTGAAAGGGTTAAAACATACGGACTCGTTGACTCCCCTCGTTTTACCTACACCATAATCGCTCCTTTCCTTTTGAAAAAGAGAGCTTTTCACAGCGGATGATCATCCGCAATCAAAGCTCTGGCTTGTCTGAAAAATTGCTTCTAAATCACAAAACGTTCACTCGTTTCATGGAAATGCAATAACAGTGGGGCCCCATCGTGGGAGGCCGTATTGAATAATCATGGCTGCAGTCTGTCAGATGTGCACCAACGATGATAGGCTACAAATGCAGATAAGCTGTGTCAAAAGTCGCATCTAATAAAGCACCAGCAAGTCTGGTGTATCATAACGCTACGTGATATCACCTTCGAATGGCACTTTTTTGTTGATGCAAGTACCAGCCAGTGTCAACACAAGCAAGCTACCTTTTCCTGTCATGAATTAAAACACATCCAGTTGGACATGACTTGCACTAATGACAGAAGGCGTCATCTCCATGTGAGTTTTTCCATCAGCAGATCCCGACTGGGCGACATCTTCCACATAATTCCATTGCTCTTTTTTTCTTCCCGCAGTCAACCACTCTATTTACATTGATAGGCACCCGCTGCAATCGGGCTCATCTGGTGGTTATTTGGCAGGAATTATGCATAAGAGTAAATGCCATGGCACTAATAGGAACGCAATTTAGGTGACAGGATAGATGTAATTAACAGAGTGGGCGCCATACAGGGGAGAGGAAATTGACGTGATGTAAATGGTTTAATTAAATCACGCACTCATAATCGAGGATTCAAGTCATCCCGGTAGTCCGCTGATTGTGTAAAATGCTAAATATAGGGTTACAGTTTTCTGGCCATTCATACCATTCAGAACTAATCAGTGTCAATTAGTAAATGGGCCAGTGAGATGCTAAATCTGAAAGTAGCGTTTCATTATCTGACTCATCACCCCTGACA